AGAGCAGAAATAGAATGTTTTACTAGGTATCACATCACAGAAAACACAGAATTTGCCTCGGCCCCATTGTCTAGTAGCTAAGGGAACTGGGTGCCACATGGCAAACCATGGTTTGAATCTTAGTCTGAAAGCTTGAAAAAGATGTTGGGTGCATGTACACTCATGTTTAAAATCCCCAAAGGAAAGAGAAATGGAGAATGGATTGTGGCATGGCCATGCCTCATCAGGGGTGCTTTTTCCCTTACTGTTTCTGGCGAGTGCATGCACCCTCTGGCAGTTAAGAGAGGAGAGAGAGAAAGAGAGAAAGAGAACATGACATGACTTCTCCAAATTGTTTTATAGCTTCTTTCTTCCATGAGAGACAGAAAGAGAGACAGCTGGGATCAGCAGTTGGCATAATGGCTATGTTGCTGGACTCCCATGTAGTTGACCGTGGTTCAAGTCCCAGACCCGTGGCTTAAACTCACGCTGAGTGTGTGTGCATGCGTGCCCAAGATCCTGAGAAGAGAATGGAGGAGAAGGGATTGCGGCATGGCCATGCCCCCTGGAGGTGAGTTCTCGCTTTCTGTCTCTCTGTCTCTTTCTGATGAGTGTACGTGCCCTGTAGCAAAAACCTTTAAAAAAAAAATGCAACCCACAAACAAAAAACAAACCAGAAAGAGAGCACCCCCAACAGGGTCCTGACATCATGATACACCCCCAGTCTCAGCCAGCCTCGGGTCATGGCACATACATACCTGGAATGTTTAGGGATAAGCATCCAGACGTAAACGCAGACCCCTCACAGAGGTCTGCCTTGCAGAGCACTGCATTACTACCGCGCCACCCTCCCCCCAATCTTTTTAGGTTTTCCTGCTTCGAGAGAGACAGAAATTAAGTACTGTCAACGGGGTGACTTAAGGAGACAACCTAAATGCTTCTTACTTCTTGAGTCACTTTATCATGCACAAAAGGTCACTATGAACAAAAGCTGAATGACAATCTTAAATCCTGAGGGGTCACTTCTTATGACAAACTACATTCTGAAGACTTGAGAACATGTTGCTCTCCATAATATTCTAATGAATACATTAAATAAAAGCAAACTGTTTGGGGGAGGCTCTCAAAAAGAAAGTAGGACAACAGACCGGTAAAGCTGTCCCTGGTGTCTCTTCCCATTAAACAAAAATACAGAAATTTTACACCTACCTAATTTTCTCTTAGAAAATTAAAACTCTTCGTACACATTTTAATGTATTAACATATTAAGCAAGTTTGAGCAACTGATTCTCTTTTGAGCTTTTGGATTCCAGACGCCATTTGTGCAGCTATTTCAGTGGCAGCCACCCGCGTCTTCCAGCTCTCGGCCAAACCACGGAAGGTGGAAGTAGAGGCAACGCAGGAACAGGGAATTACTGCTAGTGAATTACTGCTCCCTGCCCATGTTCTATTCTAACCATGAGTAATGTGTAATGTGCAACCTGTTATTAAAAGCCATGGAATTTATTCCATCACCTCTTTTGGCTACTAAGGCACCCCAATTTGTCTTTCTGATCCTTGTGTTAAAAAAAAAAAAGAAAAAATTCCTTTTTAAAATGTAAGCAATCACAGGTGGTTAATGTTTAACTTTTTTATTAAGAAACTAAGGCAGAATAACAGAATTTCAAAAAATTAAATACAGAATTCTAGTTTTATTTCTAAACAAATATGAAATCTGCACCAAGAGCTAAAAATCAGTGTTTAGCACTATTTATGAGTAGAGGGGAATGGCTAAATCACATTCGCAGCCATTTCTTCCTTGCCAGCCTCAGATTTCTCTCTTTCATTCCTGGTTAGCTTCTGTGAGGACATAGAATTTCTTCCTCACCTATCTTTTGCTACTGTAGTTCTGTAACTTCAGAGGAACTTTTGTTTTCCTACATAGTTTTTTCTCTGTCCCTTCAGCAAATATGTGAGCACCTGCTTATTGGGCTTAGATGATATGGGCACAAAGATAAATCCTGAGATCCTCTCCTAGTTTAGGGGAGATAAGACACCAATAAATAATAAATATAAATAATTTCACAAAAAGTAATATGGCATGAGTTAAGTGTAGTTAAAATATAAAACTAAGGACATGCCAAGGAAGGAGAGATTACATTCAGCTGGAGGAACTGGGAAATGTTTTATAAGGGATAGCATTTGGGTTGGGTATAGACTGCTCCTTCCTCATAAAGGCTTCACCTATCACTGATCTTGAGTTTTGTAAAGTAATGTTTTTGATACTAATATTTAAACTCAAGTTTCTCTACATATATTCATTTCTTAAAATGATTCTTAAAAACTAATGTTATAGTCTACATAAACACTAGCTTGGAAACTTAAATTACAAGTTAATTATAATAGGGCTACTCCATAGCATAGTGGTTCAAAGAGTTGGATCCCACATGGCTGATCATGGTTTGAATCCCAGCCCCAGCTACTTGAAAATACTCAGGGCACATGTGTATACATGGCCCAAATCCTGATGTCATGGAGAAATGGAAGAGAAAGGACTGCGGTGTGATCCTGCCATATTGGGAGGGGGGGGTGTGTATGTGTGCTTTCTCTCTGGCTAGTGCATGTACCCTCTGGCAAATCAAAAAAAAAGTTAATTATAATAGATTCTAAATGGATTAGGGCTCTGCTATTTTTCAAACTCTTCCTCTAGTTAAATACTTTCTAAAAGGCAGAAGATGCCTGTTCACTGAACCATGATTTCAAATACTGAATTGGGCAAAATCTACTTGCTTTAGGTGTTTAATCAAATCTATGTCTAAACCTCTATAAATAAAATGAGGGAGATGAAATAAGTGGCTTAACGCTCAAAAGTCAAATAAGAAAAAAATGGCCAGTATGAAATGATATCTAGGAACCACAGAATTCCTTGTATGAAAAGTTTTAATGAATCATGAGCCATTGACCATTACAGACTTTAAGAATTAATATTTCTTCTTTCCTATGTCAAACCAGATAATTAAAAGTCTATCTCAAGTATGCCAGCAGACCACAGCATGAGTAACAGCAGTAATGTTTGCTCCCACATCTGCATGCTTCATTAAAGAGCCACAGAAAGTGCTCCCCAGTTTCCCACGTCAACAAATAAATTCAATTCGACACTTTTTCTTGTTTCAGATAAAATACAGTAAATAACACTTTACCTTCCTATACCAGTTTTTACCCACAGTGTAAGCACTCTCCCATTATTTTCTCCTTTACCCTCAATATCTTTGTGAGGTAGTGAAGGGAGGAAGCAAGGATATTTTTTTTTTCCTTTTTTTCCTATTTTGCAGATGAGGAAACTCAAGGTGAATTTTAGGTCAATAGTTCTCAACCTTGGCAGCATACTGCAATCACCAGGAAGTTTAAAAATCCTTATGGCCAAGTCATATCCCAGACCAATGCCAGAATCTTGAGGGACACACCGAAGCCTTAACATTACCTTACAACACATTCCAAAGTGACTCTGGAGTACAGCCAAAGTGGAGAACCACGGTTTAGAGGATTTAGATGAAATCTTCAGGTGCAAATGTCTTCTACCTAAATGCTCTCTAAGCACCAATTAAAAAGAGATTCCACTTCCTTGAACATTGTAGCAGTTTGCTTTAAACAGCACTTGGTCTCTAGTAACAAAAATTATTTACCATGTTATAAATGAAGTCTTTTCCTTCCTCTGATGCTCACCTATGTATGAACATCCATTTTATAAAATCTGCACATGGGATATTAGGGAATTTAAATCTTTGAGATAAAAATGGCTTGTTAAGTATTTAGGCAATCACTGGATTCTTGGTTCAATATACAATAACCATGTGTTTCTGTTTTCCATTCAGCACCTTCAAAACTTTGTTGTAAGTAAATGTTTACTAACAAGCCAAAACGGAACTACGACCATCAGCAAAAGCTCTTGGAATAAGTCATAACACAACCTGAAAAAGAAACAAGTACTTGGAGAACTTTCTGACTAGTCAGGCTTCATCCTGAACCAGTCCACCTCTTTCATCAAGTTTTAAACTTTGCCAAACTGAGTTTTATATCAAGAAAAATCAATTTCTTGTCAGTTATATTCTCTAACACATTTAAACATATACAAAAAGGTTTCTTCTTGACATGGAAATCAAAAAGAATCTCTAACAGATTTCACCTTTTCAAGCAACATACCAAATACACAAAACCTGTAAACCTTTCGGGTAGCAGTGCTAAATCTTTGTTCTGCAGTTTAAACTCCCTGCTTCACAGGAATACCCATCACCTAAATTCTCAAAGAACAATCCAAGAACCTCAGCCAACTGCGTGCTGTCCCTAATTTTATTAGATTTCAAACAAAATATATATACAGCAATAACCTAAAAAGTACAAAGATTTCATTTGCCTTCCTCAATTCTTATGTAGCTCACCTATGTATGAACATCCATTTTATAAAATCTGCACATGGGATATTAGGGAATTTAAATCTTTGAGATAAAAATGGCTTGTTAAGTATTTAGGCAATCACTGGATTCTTGGTTCAATATACAATAACCATGTGTTTCTGTTTTCCATTCAGCACCTTCAAAACTTTGTTGTAAGTAAATGTTTACTAACAAGCCAAAACGGAACTACGACCATCAGCAAAAGCTCTTGGAATAAGTCATAACACAACCTGAAAAAGAAACAAGTACTTGGAGAACTTTCTGACTAGTCAGGCTTCATCCTGAACCAGTCCACCTCTTTCATCAAGTTTTAAACTTTGCCAAACTGAGTTTTATATCAAGAAAAATCAATTTCTTGTCAGTTATATTCTCTAACACATTTAAACATATACAAAAAGGTTTCTTCTTGACATGGAAATCAAAAAGAATCTCTAACAGATTTCACCTTTTCAAGCAACATACCAAATACACAAAACCTGTAAACCTTTCGGGTAGCAGTGCTAAATCTTTGTTCTGCAGTTTAAACTCCCTGCTTCACAGGAATACCCATCACCTAAATTCTCAAAGAACAATCCAAGAACCTCAGCCAACTGCGTGCTGTCCCTAATTTTATTAGATTTCAAACAAAATATATATACAGCAATAACCTAAAAAGTACAAAGATTTCATTTGCCTTCCTCAATTCTTATGTATCTGAAACCATACAATTTATACTTTCATACAGAAAGATCTTTGTTTCTCTTCCAGCAAAAGAAAACCTCAGCTCGTATGTGTTGGGTTATTAATTCAAACAAGTATTAATGAAGAAAATAAGATTAATCAGTCAAAATAGGAATTAACATTATGCTCTTCTAAAATGAAACCTTCAAAATATTGCCAACCTGAGATTTTCAGCACAGGGTGTTATATTTCAAGTCCCATGGGGGCAATTATCTATGATGAGATCAAGAACATTCTTAACCTTGGGTTCAGGTGGGCACTGTTTCAGGTGGGTAAGTAAACATTTTCTTGATAGCCCCAATGAAGAATTTGAGGCTTAGACTGTTGCATGATGTAAACAATATGAAATTAAAAAAAAAAAAAAAGAAGTTGATAACATCTGTAGCATTATAAAGTTACAAATAAAAAGACTATCAAATAATTTTTTTCCTAAAGGCTGTACCAAAAGATTTCATATTTGAGGCCAATAAGAACAAATGGCAATGTTCTTTCTTGAGACACTTTCTCAAAAAGTCAAAAAAATAAAACTAGATGCCAAAGATGCACATTACCATTATATTTAGACCATCTTTACTGATATATGTGTAATTAGAAATAGTTTGCCCTCTCTCTCACTCTTCAGTCAGGAGATGGAGGGATTTTTATGGTAATTTTGATCATGTATTAAAAAAAACCAACTGTAATAGCTATGGGAACGATACACCAAAAACAACACAAAGTGAGCCAATATAACACATCTCTTCTTAAAGTCCTCTTCTTGAGTTACCCAATTGTCCCTGTTATTTTAATTTTGTACCATGTAGTGGTTTTTAAGAAACTGAACTAGAACAAAGAAATCCTTTGTCCTTTGCATTTTTTTTTACAGTTTTTTTACACACATATTGTATATACAACTTTTAAAATAGCTGCACAATTTTATATCTCACTATTAGAGAAGTGCAGTCCAGGCAGACCATGCTTCTCAATATGTTAAAAAATATTAAATAAAACCCAACCAGTTTCATACTTTTCTAATAGTCAAGCTGGCTGGAAAAAAAAAAGGGGGGGACTGGAGAAAGAACAGGCAGTTGCAAGATGGAATCAATCTTTCTTCACAAATACACTACTTAAAATCTTGCCATTTCCTCATCTTATCCCTTTTACAGATCTCTAAAATCTCACCTTTAAAGTTGGAAATAACACATTGCTAACTTGTAGAAAAAAATCTGTTGCAACATGCATATGTCAACTGCCCACTCAACCAACTGCAACCCGGAGGATTTTTCTGGCCCAGAAGAAAGAGGGCACAATAAGATGATCTCTGCTGTAGAGTTGCTGCTCCAGTTTACAACTTCATGTGTCTTTCGGGATGTTCCTTGGACATGCACATGTGACACTGTCACTTCACGATTCTTCTTTCCATAAGCACATTTCCCCTTCACTCTGTCTTTTATCCCAAGAAAGCCAGTGTCATCCATCCAAAGGTTTCCCAAGATAAACCAAAGTCACTTCTGTGTTACCATATACAGCAGAAACTGCTGGATATAAGCATGCCTTTGGAAGTCCTCTAAAGGCAACCCCCAGGAACTCATATCCTCGTTCAAAAGCTAAAGTCTTATCCTCCATGTCCAAGATGACTCGAATTCTCTCGCCTATCTGCAAAGAGACATCAAAGAAGGTTAGAAGACAACTCTAGCAAGGGTTTAGCTAGAAGAAACATGACCTAAGTCAAAAGCCTGAAATTAGAACTAAAAACAAAAATCTAGTAGACTACTGGATGTGCACGACATAATGTAATGTTAAATGTTGAAGATGATGAATATGTTTATATCCTTGATTTATTACATATTATATATACCTGTACATACTGTATACCGCCTTAAAAAAACCATACTGTACCCTACAAAGATGGACAATGATTATACGTAAATTAGAAATTACAATTTAAAAAATACATGTATATTAAAAGTTATCTAGAAAAATCGAAGAAAAGCTTTCAGCTCAGGGAGAAACATTAAAAGAAAACATATAAATCTCATTACTAACACTTACTTTGACAGTTATCTTAAGAGACATAGGATCTATAGTTAATTACAATCAACTTAAAAATTTAATGTTTAAAGATTTCTTTTCCTTTTTAAGAATTATTTTATTTAACTTTATTTATTTATTTAGACCAGAGAAGGACAGAGAGAGAAAGAAAGAAAGAAAACAAGCCCCTTAGGTCTGGGACTCCAACCATGGTCGGCAATGTGGGAGTCCAGAGCTCTTAACCACCACGCCACCTGCTGGCCCCTTAAAGGTTTCTTTTAATAGGCTAGTCAGTGGTGTGGTGGTTACAGTGGGCTGGATCCAAAAGGCTGACTCATTGGTTCAAGTCCCAGACCTGGTAGCTTAAAAATGCCAGATGCACACACATGCATGGCCAAAATCCCAAGAGGAGAAGGGATTGTGGCATGGTCATATCCCTCTGCGAATTCCTTCTCACTCCCTACCCCTACACATATCTGTCTCCAGCAAATGCACATGCTCTATAGCAAATTATGTAAATAAACAGAAAATAATTTTTTAAAGGTTTTTGCCATAGGGTGCATGCGTTCACAGGAGAGAGACAGAGTTTTAGTGGTTTTTAAGAAACTAAACTAGTTAAAGTCTTTTTACAAGCAAAATGAGAAACAGTGATTGACTGGTTAAAAAAATAATTGCAATAATAATAATGATCGGAAAAAAATGAAAAGATATTGAATGATGAAGTAGGGATTTTAATGTCTCTGTATTGACTGACATTCATGGCATTACCTTTTGAAAAAGCAATGTAATACACTGTAAAGTTAGATGTAATAGAATGTAATATAAACAAGATTATGATGATAATAAATAAATTTTAAAAAAAGATACACACACCAAAAAAAAAAAGAAAAGAAAAAAAGAAACTGAACCCTTAAAAGGACCAGCCGATGGTGAAATGGTTACATCAATGGACTCCCACATAATCGACTGTGGTTTGAGTCCCAGGCCTGGAGGCTTAAAACTCATGCTGGGAGGCCAGCAAATGGTATAGTGGTTAAGGGCGCTGAACTCCACATGGTTGAGAGTGGTTTAAGTCCTGGACCTGTTGTCTTACTTTCTCACTTTCCCTGTCTCTCTCTCTCACTCTATCTCAGGTCAAATTAAAATAAATAAAGTAAAATAAAACAATTCTTTTAAAAAGCAAAAAAAAATAAACAAAAATCTCGTGCTGGGTATGTGTGCAAATGTGCCCACAATTCCGAGAAAAAGAGGAGAACTGTGGCATGGTCAACCCCTTAGGGGTGATTTCTCACTTTCTGTCTCTTTGTCTCTCTCCAGCAAGCACACTTGCCCTACTGCAAAAATCTCTTAAAAAAAAAAAAAGAAAGAAACTCAGGACCAGCAGATGGCATGGTAGGTACGTTGCTGGACTCCCACATGGCTGACTGCGATTCGAGTCCTGGACCTTGTGGCTTCAAACACGCATCGGGCATGTTTGCGTGTGTGCTCAAGATACCAAGAGGAGGGAACCAGCAGTTAGCGTAATGGCTATGTCACTGGATTCCCACGTAGTCGACCACGGTTCGCGTCCCGGACCTGGTGGCTTAAAACTCACGCCGGGCGTGTGTGCGTGCGTGCCCAAGATCCCGAGAGGAGAATGGAGGAGAAGGGATTGTGGCGTGACCATCCCCCCTGGGGGTGGTTTCTCGCTTTCTGTCTCTATGTCTCTGTCTGGCGAGCGCACGCACCCTATAGCGAAAA